CGTTATTTTTTTGTTTTGAATCAACATGTCAAATTAAATATCAAAAGATGTATTCATCCAAAATTTAAAATCAAAAGATGTTTATCCAATTTTTTAGTATAATATCCATTTGCACTAGAACAAATTAAAATAATAGCAGTGCACCTGATTATTATAATTACTGTATATATATATTTAATTTAATTATATATTGCAACCTAAAAATAACAATCTCCCCTATCTAACTTTATTACTTTACACTTACTTGAGTTGAACTCTAGTACCCATTTGCTGGATCAGTGTGTGTGTGTGTGTGTGGATGGGTTGGAGTGTTTTATGAATGTGTTTGAAGGCCTTCGAGGAGTGACTGAGGGAATGTGTGTGAATGAATGAATGAATTTGAGAGTGGATGGTGGAGAAGAGGGCTGGTGCCGGGTCCCCAGCACTGAGAGCCGACAGGGTGACTGTCACAAGGGATCTCCACCACTGGAGCGCCGTCAGTGTTGGGGGAAAATGTTGTATTATCGTTCACAGCAGCTGGCGCCGCTCTGCAAGGCCTAACTCCCACTGGGATATAACGCCAAACTCCAGCAGTGACGTCTGATAAATCTCAGCCTATCGCTTACACTTCATAGGCTGATGGGTTGTTTCTGCTCACAGCTAGTCATTGTTGCCTTCTGATCCAGAAACGTGTTTGTTTGTTTGTTGACTGTTGTTTACATTTTGGCGCGGAACAGTTCAGGTCCATGGTGGTGATGGAACAGCATTGTTCAACTCCACCATGGTGATGGAACAGTCAGTCAGCTCTGTAATGATAATAATGGAACAGGTACTTCTTGGTGCTGTTGGAATGGTATTTAGGTCTATCATGGTGATTGATCTAAATACCATTGGTGGGTGGTGGTGCTGGGGGGGTGCTGGGCCAAGGGGAAGGGGGGTAGGTTGTCCCCTAGTTCTGTCATTAGTGCACTTTTTCTGGTGGTGAGCGTGGCCGGGCGCCTATCACAGCCATAATTCCTGCCCGTCACCTCACCTTCACAATTCCATAATACTGCGACGGCGGCCCAGCGTGTCCCAGGATCACCGGCACTCAACCCTTATGGCTGTCACCATCACCATGGGGTATGGTGTTGGCTGTCACCATCACCATGGGGTATGATGTTGACTGTCACGGCCACGAATTAGAATTAGAATCGGGAATTAGAATGTTTCCGGTAGGAGTCTAGGCTGGGTTAGGTGACGCTTGTTGAATAGAATACAATAGAACACAATAGAATAGAATAGGGAAGAGCAAGGCAGAGTAGAACAGGGTAGGGCCGGGCAGAATCCCTGCCCTCTACATCTGCCTCTCCACCCCTGCCCTCCCAACCCTTCCTTCCACACCTGTCCTCCACACCCCTGCCCTCCATACCCCAGTCCTACACACCTGCCCTCCACACCCCAGTCCTACACACCTGCCCTCCACACCCCAGTCCTACACACCTGCCCTCCACACCTGCCCTCCACACCTGCCCTCTACACTTGTCACCACCAAACAAACCCCAACTCATCAGTATTCGCACCAGCCTTCCCCGCTCGCCTCCAACACTGACACCTCCCCCCCCCCCACACACACGTACGTGTGTGTGGGGGGAAAAAAGAGGTGGTAGTAACAGTTGATTGACAGTTGAGAGGCGGGCCGAAAGAGCAGAGCTCAACCCCCGCAAGCACAACTAGGTGAACAGACAGACAGAAACGACATTTGACACAGTGTGTTAGAGGAGCCGTGCAGCACAGGACTGGACCCCGTGCACCTAGTGAAGCACAACAAGAATGAACAAGTATAGTTACAATTGTACAGTTTGTTACAAGATTAATGCCAGAACGAAGAGGGTTAAGCCACGACCATTGGTAGAACCTCTTAGCTAGTTAGGTTAGGTAGGTTGCTTGGGTTTGTGTTCGCCTAGCTGTCCTCGCCTAGCTGTCCTCGCCTAGCTGTCCTCGCCTAGCTGTCCTCGCCTAGCTGTGCTCGCCTAGCTGTCCTCGCCTAGCTGTGCTCGCCTAGCTGTCCTCGCCTAGCTGTCCTCGCCTAGCTGTGCTCGCCTAGCTGTCCTCGCCTAGCTGTCCTCGCCTAGCTGTCCTCGCCTAGCTGTACTCACCTAGCTGTGTATAGTAATGTGTGCCTGGTGACAGTCGTGGCAACACCTCCCTTCTTCCCCCTACTGTTGAAGCATTGTTCCATGGCGTTACCTTAGTGTGCGTGGTCAGCACACCTAGTTCACCATTGTCGCCAGTCCTTACGCAGCCAGCGGGCAGATTGGTGTTATGTTTGTGGTGTGTTATTGTGGGTGTTAAGCGGGTGTGTTAGTGTGGCACCATGCCAGCCCTTCCCTCCACCAAGCTGGTGGCCTCGTGACCACTCCGTCACCAGCAGCAGTCTTACCGTCCACGCAAACTACTTCCTCCCTATAAGTTATAATATTGTGGTGCTCCGACACTGCCTCTATAGGACAGAGGAATGTGTCTATATGCAGCGGGTTACCGTTATATCTTCAAGAGGAAATTAGATTTATTCCTCCAAGGAGTGCCGGACCAACCGGGCTGTGGTGGGTATGTGGGCCTGCGGGCCGCTCCAAGCAACAGCCTGGTGGACCAAACTCTCACAAGTCAAGCCTGGCCTCGGGCCGGGCTTGGGGAGTAGAAGAACTCCCAGAACCCCATCAAGCAGGTATATGTGGGCCTGCGGGCCGCTCCAAGCAACAGCCTGGTGGACCAAACTCTCACAAGTCAAGCCTGGCCTCGGGCCGGGCTTGGGGAGTAGAAGAACTCCCAGAACCCCATCAAGCAGGTATATGTGGGCCTGCGGGCCGCTCCAAGCAACAGCCTGGTGGACCAAACTCTCACAAGTCAAGCCTGGCCTCGGGCCGGGCTTGGGGAGTAGAAGAACTCCCAGAACCCCATCAAGCAGGTATATGTGGGCCTGCGGGCCGCTCCAAGCAACAGCCTGGTGGACCAAACTCTCACAAGTCAAGCCTGGCCTCGGGCCGGGCTTGGGGAGTAGAAGAACTCCCAGAACCCCATCAACCAGGTATCAACCAGGTATATAAGTGTGTGGAGGCGTTAGTGGTACACGCATTGGTCCCTGCTCATGAGCTCAGGTGGTGGACCAACCAGGGACCAGATTCACGAAAGCACTTACGAACGTGTACATCTTTCCTCAATCTTTGACGGCTTTGGTTACATTTATTAAATAGTTTACAAACATGAAAACTTGCCAATCAACTGTTGTTATTGTTATAAACAGCCTCCTGGTGCTTCGGAGCTCATTAACTGTTTAATAATTGTAAACAAAGCCGCCAAAGATTGAGAAAAGATGTACAGGTTCGTAATTGCTTTCGTGAATCTGGCCCCTGGCCTCTTACAAGGAACGTCGCATTTCCCTCGTATGCGTTACATACGGCCAAAAATTGTCGTACTAGAAAATGGAAGTGGCTCGCGAAAATGACGTACTGTCTCGTTTTCTGTTTTGGCTCCTCTGGTAGGTTAGGGGAGGACATTTTAAATTAACCGTTTTCTTGATATTTTCAAACCTTTGGAGGACGCTATGTAGTCCTAAGGATCCGGGTTCGTTCCCCGGTGGAGGCGGAAACAAATGGGCAACGTTTCTTTCACCCTGATGCGCCTGTTCACCTAGAAGTTAATAGGTACCTGGGAGTTAGACAAAAATGCACTACAGCACCGGTCATCTGAAGGAAGGGAACTATCAGCGGAAAGCGCCAAGCCATTACGACTATATAACATTTGGAAGGGGTCAGGATAAGGATTTGGGATGGGACGGGGGGAAGGAATGGTGCCCAACCACTTGGACGGTTGGGGATTGAACGCCGACCTGCAACTACACTGAGTACTTGCTGAGTACACAATGTGATTATTGTACAGTTAAGACAAATTGTAGAAGCAGGCAATTAGTGTTGCTGTGTTCATCACTTTATTCAATTTGTTTCTATTATACAAGCTTGTCTTGAGTTTGATTATACATTATATAATCATTACACAAGTTTGTGTTTTTACACAAACAAAATTTACTTGTGTAAAAACACTTTGAGATTATGGAAATGTGTGAGTGACATGAGGGTGAGGAAGTTGCACAAAGTGGTCTCTATCATAACACACTCGTTGTCGTACACTTTATAATGACTTGTTTTGCTGGCAAGAAGCAGTGTTGGCGGCAGGGTAACGAGCTTGGCATGTCCTCCTAATGTGCTGTTATCTCTCCTCTTTAGCCGCTAGTTACCTCCTAAACTATTTCCCTTTTACTGAGCTTTGAAGACTGTATATGAAGCCGACGGAGGTGGTGGTGGTTGCTTGAAGATGGTGACATTGGCCCCCAGCTGTTGGCTGGTAGAGGGGCGGAGTGGAGCCATCACCACATCCATCATCTGCGTCCGTCGTGGCCAACTCTGAACAACCACGTGGGCCACATCCACTCTCATCCGGCATCCATCACCCACACGGCTGGCCAAGGCTCTCCCGCCCGCCTCCACCCACAGCGCCACCCAACCCTCGTGAGAACTCCCCCCCTCTCTCTCTCACGGCCGCCCGCACCCACGCTGTCTGCCCAGTTTGGCCCCACACCACCCCAGGCCCACTGGATGCACGCACGCGCGCGCGCGCACACACACACACACACACACACACACACACACACACACACACACACACACACACACACACACACACACACACACAGAGTAGTTAGTAAATGGAATGCATTAGGAAGTGATGTGGTGGAGGCTGACTCCATACACAGTTTCAAGTGTAGATATGATAGAGCCCAGTAGGCTCAGGAACCTGTACACCTGTTGATTGACAGCTGAGAGGCGGGACCAAAGAGCCAAAGCTCAACCCCCGCAAGCACAAATAGGTGAGTATACACATAAATATTCATATATTTATTATTGCATTGATTTAAAGGTGGGTGTGTGGTAAGGGCAGTTGTCTTGTGCTGTAGTCATTAATCTCATTGTTTTTATAACTTCCAGGTGGAGGATATGGAGCGAGCCGCTGGAGACGGTGTTATGGAATTCAACGAGATTGATGATGAGTGGTAGGTGTGTAGTGGCAGGTGTGTAGTGTGTAGTGCTGTAGTTGTAGGTGTTGTAGGGGTGTAGTGGCAGGTGTGTAGTGCTGTAGTGGCAGGTGTTGTAGGTGTGTAGTGGCAGGTGTGTAGTGTCAGGTGTTGTAGTGGTAGGAGTGGTAGTGTGTAGCGTACTGTAGTGGTAGGTGGAGTATTAGTAGTGTACTCAGTAATTTGTACTTCTCGTACACTACAGCCTGTAGTGTACACTATTGTACAAGAACTGTAGCGTACACCCTCGTATAGCTACTTGTTGCCTACAATATAAAAATCCCTAACTGTTGGATAGTGTGATTTCTATAATTAGCGTGTTGACATGCTAATCTTACATCTACCTGTGTAGATACCGAGAAATATGAATGTAATATATTGTTACTACACAATACATCACAAGTTGTAATGTAGAGTAAGTCTGCAGCCGTCGGCTGTCTTATCAGCCATTTTGATATTAAATAATAGAATATATATATTAGTAATTTCTACAACTGTCCTCACCAACATATTTTAAACCTAACCATATGTATATGCTCGTTCATTTTTATTATCACATTTTATAACCCAGTTTAGTGTATTTAAAGAGTAAATAGTAACCAAGTTAGATATGTGTATTAGTTGTTAGAACATTTGTAGTAGAGGAGTAAGTGTGTGTGTGTGTTCCCCAGATGTGAGAGTTGCGAGATGGAGCTACAGGAGGCGTGTGTTGGGGGCACACATCCCAGGCGCTGCACTACAACCACCTGCCTGCTGGTGAAGGTTATGACGGGCTGGGGGTGTGGGACCATCATAGGCGGTGACCTACACCTTGGTCCTCACCACGGCCTCCCCCACCTCCCCCACCCCCCCACCCCATCCCCCCACCCTCCCCCACCTCCATCACCCCCACTGTCTTCCCCACGCTTTTCACGGGGTCTTCGCTACGCCTGTCTATTTACTGGTTCAAACTCACTCTCCAGACATCTACCATTCTACCCATTTCTACCACCTTTCCCTTTGTACCAATTTTATCTACTCCCTGCCTCTACTCTCTGTGCTCCTAGCTACCCCACATTATTTGTACCCACGTAAACTCTACACCACTTTCGCGTCTCGTGGAACACCCCCCCCCCCCTCTTCCGTGTCCCCCCCCCCCCAGAACACCTCACCCCCCCCCCGCCCGCCTGGGAGAGACCATTCCTCCCAGAGGCAACTGTACAAAGAGATGCATAACAATGTGACAAACGTAACAAGGCAATTCAATGTATTCCTGTTTATTATTTGAAATGTATTATTTGGTCCACAATGTTGTATGTGAATTATCTAACGTTTGTAACCATAATAATTTTAAGTTCTTTTATGATGGGTTTTTGTGCGTTCCTTTACTGACTTTGGTAGGTAATTGTGTCTTAATTTGTGACGTTAAGTTAGGGGCGAACGAGGCTTCGAGTCCTCATTTTTTAGTGCCATTGAGTTTCCTTACTGTGTAAACTTATATTACTTAATGCTCGGAGTCTGAGGAGGTATACTTTAAGCATACTTTATTTGTATTCATATACATTATCTGTGTATTTTGCCCTAGTGGGCGTTTTTCTTGGAACGTTCCAATCAACCCGTGTGGGAACTTTGGAACGTTCCAATCAACCCGTGTGGGAACATTGGAACGTTCCAATCAACCCGTGTGGGAACGTTGGAACGTTCCACTCAACCCGTGTGGGAACGTTGGAACGTTCCACTCAGCCCGTGTGGGAACGTTGGAACGTTCCAATCAACCCGTGTGGGAACGTTGGAACGTTTCACTCAACCCGTGTGGGAACATTGGAACGTTCCAATCAACCCGTGTGGGAACATTGGAACGTTTCACTCAGCCCGTGTGGGAACATTGGAACGTTCCAATCAACCCGTGTGGGAACATTGGAACGTTCCAATCAACCCGTGTGGGAACATTGGAACGTTTCACTCAGCCATATGATTGTATATAGAGCACCACTTAACGTTAGTAATTACACATGTATCTGCATGACTAAATCACACATATGTTAAAGTGAGATTAAGATCATTGCTCTCACTTGGCTCTGGAGCTCACAGTGTTGGAGGTGTTGTCATGGTTGTGAGCCAAGGCTCTACACGTGGTTGTGATGTGAGTTTTCCACTCCTGGCAACACCGTAGCTGGCACCGTCTCCGTCACTCCCCGCCCGAGTCCTCAAGGAGTCCTCCTTCTCCTCAAGTTTCTAAAATAAGATTTATTTTACGATTGAGTGCCACTGTATCGATCCTTTCAGCACATGATACCTGAAGGAGCGTCCTCGTCAAGCATTTTTACTTTGGAATTGTGTTCTTTTATGGTGCTTGGGGCTTGCTTTTATTAGTTTACAAGAGGACGCCTTAATCATCCCTCTGTTTTATTTTCGTCTTTACTTGGGGGAATATGAGCTCAAGTATATTGTTCATTATATTGTGGTAAGGCTTTTTACATTAATATAATTATCTGACTATTTTGTTCTTATTTTAGTTAGATAATGAGCAGTTGTGGTTTATATAAAGGTTATCAGGCACACGTATCTACGTGTGCCTGATAACCTACGTATGGCCTGATGCCTACGTATCTATCAATACGTATCGCTTGTCAGTCAATATTTCGGTGACTTTTTTAAGTCTGTTGTGGTCATGTGCCGGCAGAGGTCCACCAAGGTCTTGGTGCAACAGGTGTGGATGGCAATAAATACTATGAACACTCACGTAGAACATGTGTGTTATTGATGCCTGCCATGTTATAGGCATGTCAACTGCCTCCTCCTCGTCCCTTCTCTCTCCACTTTCCCCATACACCTGGAGCCAGATTCACGAAGCAGTTACGCAAGCACTTACGAACCTGTCCATCTTTTCTCAATCTTTGGCGGCTTTGTTTACAATTATTAAACAGTTAATGAGCTCCGAAGCACCAGGAGGCTGTTTATAACAATAACAACAGTTGATTGGCAAGTTTTCATGCTTGTAAACTGTTTAATAAATGTAACCAAAGCCGCCAAAGATTGAGAAAAGATGGACAGGTTCGTAAGTGCTTGCGTAACTGCTTCGTGAATCTGGCCCTTGTTACTGGTACTCTGTAACACCTTGTGTCACACCCATCCAGTGTGTGGTGCGGCCTAGCTGCTCTTAACCACTCCTATACCTTTCATAATGTGTTGGGGCTGGAGCGACGGTCTCGCTTCATGCAGGTCGGCGATCAATCCCCGACCGTTCATGTGGTTGGGCACCATTCCTTTTCCTCCGTCCCATCCCAAATCCTTATCCTGACCCCCGATCTCAGTGCTATATAGTCGTAATGGCTTGGCGCTTTTCCCAGATAGTTCCCTTCTTATACCGTTCACAATGTGTTGCATTAATCAATAATGATCTTAGTGCTCACTTGTATAGTCTTAAGGAGATCAAATTTGTAAGTAAAGCAATTATTTGTTTAACAAAACAAATATGTTTTAAACATTTGTTTAAAAACATGTTTTTTTTTTAAATGTTTTCAAAAAATAATTCCAAAAAACATTTTCAAAAAAACATGTTTTCTAAAAATGTTTTCTAAAAATGTTTTAAAAAAACATGTTTTCTAAAAACATGTTTTTTGAAAACATGTTTCTTGAAAACATGTTTCTTGAAAACATGTTTCTTGAAAACATGTTTTCTAAAAACATGTTTCTTGAAAACATGTTTTCTAAAAACATGTTTCTTAAAACATGTTTTCTAAAAACATGTTTCTTGAAAACATGTTTTCTAAAAACATGTTTTCTAAAAACATGTTTCTTGAAAACATGTTTTCTAAAAACATGTTTCTTGAAAACATGTTTTCTAAAAACATGTTTCTTGAAAACATGTTTTCTTGAAAACATGTTTCTTGAAAACATGTTTCTTGAAAACATGTTTCTTGAAAACATGTTTCTTGAAAACATGTTTCTTGAAAACATGTTTCTTGAAAACATGTTTCTTGAAAACATGTTTCTTGAAAACATGTTTCTTGAAAACATGTTTCTTGAAAACATGTTTCTTGAAAACATGTTTCTTGAAAACATGTTTCTTGAAAACATGTTTCAAAACATGTTTTGAAAATGGTTCTTGAAAACATGGTTCTTGAAAACATGGTTCTTGAAAACATGTTTCTTGAAAACATGTTTCTTGAAAACATGTTTCTTGAAAACATGTTTTCTAAAAACATGTTTTCTAAAAACATGTTTCTTGAAAACATGTTTTCTTGAAAACATGTTTTCTAAAAACATGTTTCTTGAAAACATGTTTCTTGAAAACATGTTTTTTAAAAACAAGTTTTCAAAAAACATGTTTTTTGTCTATCATTAGTTCAAATCCGGATATTTTCAGTTTTGCATTGTTGGTACAAGGGAAGCTTTTCTTATGCTATCAGCGAGTGGTCGCATTTTATGTTGATTATTTTCTGTAATAGAATGAATCCATCAACCAAGGAGTAACCAAGTTATAAGTTAATGTACCATGTAAGAGAGACCAGCGTGTCTATGAAACTGTGCTCTCAATAAATGTATGTATACACACCACACTGTTTTTATTAATACTCTCATTTACTTTATATTCCCTGGGTTTTAATATATATATATATATATATATATATATATATATATATATATATATATATATATATATATATATATATATATATATATAATATTGACTATAATATGTTCTTGGAGTAGCTGTCTTATATTATACTGTGTGTATATTGTGTGGTATAACAAAACATTTGGTTCCCTAAACCAATTTCTTAGTGTCATCCGCGAGTTTAGATAGCTTAAAGAACAACTGTATAACCAGCACTGCGGACAGTATTTGTAAGGCATAGTCAGGCAACTAGTGTGTAAAGCAGATTCAGGATGATTTTAGCCTTGGGTGTTGGCACCCAAGGCTAAAGAATGACTTGTAAAGAAAAGACATTTCAGAATGATGGAAGCTAAGGGTCAGAAATGCATCTGGTTAAGGTGGCCAGACTCCTAATGACAATATGGTAAGACTAATAGTAGCAAGGTCATCTTAAGGTCCAGGTGAGCACATTCACCCACTCCTCATTGTGGGTGTATTAACCGACTTGGCGCTGTGTGCCCGACGACATGCTGCAAGGTCTCTACACTCTTCCCCCCCCCCCGCGCGCGCACGCACGCACACACACACACACACACACACACACACACACACACACACACACACACACACACACACACACACACACACACACACACACACACACACAGGCCTGAGGCATGTGTGTGTGTGGACACAAGCAGACCTAAACCAGATCCAAGCTCTTCATCCTCCGTCCTACTTCCCTCCAAACCCCTCATAACTGCCCCACAGGTCAAACCAACCCAAATAGCCCTGCCCAAGGAACAGTTTCCTACGCCAGTGGGGAGTGTGGGATATTGGACATCGGAAACTGATCTTCAATGTAATGTACTTAAACATAGATGAGATTACGAATAAAACAATTGAACTGAACAAATGGGCACATGAAGAAACCCCAGATATAACAGCACCCTCAGACATGAAACTGTCAAGTGCAATACAAATGGAGTGTTTCTGCAGGACTAATGTATAGTAAGGAAAGAGAGGGAAGGAAGAGGAGGAGGGGGAGTGGCCCTGCTGATAAGGAAGGACTGGAGTTTCAGAGAGATGGGTATCCCAGGCTGTGAGGGATTCACAGACTACATAACAGGAACTATGACAGTGGGAGAAACTAAGAGATCGGTAATTTATAACCCTCCACTAAATGACAGAAGACCCAGACAGGAGTATGATAGAAACATGGCAACCCTTAATCCAATAGAGAGAGCAGCTTTAGTTACCTGCAGGAATGGATCCAGACTTAATCATAGACGACTCCTATCATGGAAAGATATACTGGAAGAATGGAGAACCACATGGAGGTAGTTACATGGAGAGCTAAACTATTGGATGTGGCAACAAGAAATTTCCTGAGCCAACATGTAAGGGATCCACAAGAATGAAGGGCAATGACTAACCAGCCAAACTAGACCTGATATTCATCCTGGTTGAGTCAGACATAAGGGAAGTCAAATTAGAGTCCTCCGTGGAATGAGTGACCACAGCATACTGACATTTGAGTATCTGGTGGAAGTAGGGATAACCTATCCAAGGATGGGACCAGAGAGGAAAAGACTGGCTTATCAAAGAGGAAACTATGTTGAGATGAGGAACTTCCTAATGGGAATACCATGGGAAACAGGAATCTGAAAAAAGACTGTACAAGATATGATGGACTATATCAAACTAAAAGCAACGGAAGAATCCATGGTTCAGTCAGGCATATAAGGAAGCAAAGCAATTAAGTACAAGAACATGGAAAAACAACAGAAGTGACGGAACACCAGAGAGCAGGAGATACCAGAGAGCAAGGAATGAGTACCTCAATGTGAGGAGAAAAGCAGAGACAATATGAAAATTACATAGCAAGTAAAGCCAAGACCTAAGCAAAATTGGTTCAAAGCCACATCAGACAGAAAACAGCAGTGAAGGAACAAGTAATGAAGTTAAGGAAGGGGGAAACAGATACACAGAAAATGACAAGGTGATGTGTGAAGAACTCGATAAGAGATTCCAGGAGGTCTTCACAATAGAGTAAGGAGAAGACCCTATGCAGAGAGAGGAGGCTGTAAACCAAGCATTCTTTGGAGGAATT